CTCTCTCTTTTGCCCCCTCTCTTTCTTTCCTTAAAACTTTTTTAATACAATAATTTTATTATAGCAGTTTATGTTTTACTTTACCTCCTCCAGCTACTACAAATATTCGGGAATCTAATTCAGGTGATTTCTGAACAGTTGCCTTGCATCTTGATCTCCGTTTATTTTCAAAATCTTTACGAAGTGCTCGAACTTTCACACCACCATCCGGTTGTATAGATACTGTTAAACTGGGAAGATCATCTAAACCAGGAAAATCTTCGATATCCCCTATGAAAATATAAGACATTATTGAATTTTTCAATACATAAAAAAACACATTTCAAACTGCACTATTATTTACTCAATGCAGTAGTCAAATTTGTCTTAATTTTAATGAAACAAAACAAAAAAAATTCGATTTTTTAGAATTTTCTTTCAAATATACTTTTATTATAAGAACATATTCTCAGCATTTTATTCTTATGAACTGTCACCCCACTAACACTCCATTATTGTAAATAGAGATACCTGTAGCAAGATTGAAACAGGCTCCATGCCAAGGACAACGTATTCGCCCAATGCTCAGAGCACCTGAACTTAAAGGTGCACCATAATGTGTACATTCATTACAAAGAGCATAGATTTGTCCCCTCTGACGCACTACTACGACATCTCCAAGACCTCCTAAGTCAAAAGTCTGCATCCTAAATAACAAATAAATTTTTTTATGAATCAACCAATTAATTTTTTTTAATGTAAAGTATTTTTGAGTTGTAAATTAAACAAATCTAAAATAGTTTCCTAAAAGGATATATATTTAAAGGGGAACCTACAATTTCAGATCTTTGATGTGAACAATTTTGGGCAAATTATCAACCTATAGTGTGTCACTTTCTCACAAATAATAAAAACTCACTCATTTTCTTTCAAATCACTTTCATTACACAGAACATCCTCAACAATTTCTTCAGGAGTAACTGAAAAATGAAATATAATTTTGCATTAATAATCATAAAGCAATAAAATAGTAGATATAAAGATTAGTGTACGTGTCAGAAATCAAATATCTATAATTATTTGTATTTCTGAATAATTAAATGATATAATTCTTGATAAAATGTGTGAAAAATATTCTGTTCATGAGAATTCTTGTTTAACTGCTGAGCAATCTTAGATTAAAAAACTTGTTTTAAATAAAACATATTTTAAACACAAAAACAAATAAATCAAAAATGTTTCTTTATATAGATCAGTTTGATTTCATTTCTTTCTTTTCATAAATTAGTATTTATACATTCATCAGTGACTTTTATTGCATCAAATGGATTTAATGGATCTTTTACCAACGTCTGCGTGCAGGGATTTTCCTGAACTGAGTATCTCCCTCCAGTGTGGCACCACCCCAGCCGGGACAAGCCCTAAGCTCCCGACTGGTCTCCCAATATGTGTTATAGTGTAGTGCATGTGAGTGTATGTGTGTGTACGTAAGGGATGAGGAAAGGTCAAGGAAGAAGAAGGAAAGATTGGCCCGTTTGTTAGGGTACTGCTCCGGCATTCGTCTGGTGTTGATCGGAGAAACCACGGAAAACTACTGATCGGAGCAGCCGGCCGCTAGAATTCTCCTCCAGACGGCGGCTGAATCCGACCTAGCTGGCAAGCTAGTGTCGAATATCATGCCACCATCAGAACTGGAACCCTAGAACCTCCCGTTCAGAGACATTGCAGTGACATACATATTCATGCCCTGAAGAATCTTTGCCGGTTTTTGAGCAAGGGTTCACCTGTCCTGTTCTCTTCTACAGAATGTCACTGAATAAATGTCACAAATGCCTATGACTTTTAGAGAGATACACGATTACAACGTTTTACCAATGAACTTGTGGTGGTGAATTTCATAAAACGAAGTTACACATGTGACATTAGTCCCCTGAGAGTTAAGCAGCCCTTCAAGCATCGATGCAGGTAATATTCGACATTGGGCATGAAATCTGTTCAAGGTCAGACCACTGGGGCAATGGTGCATGAGAAGCTGCCCAGCTAACAGGAGGATAGCCAAAATATATCGCTCATTTGCTGATGCAAATAGTTTGTTATACCCGAGCGAATATTTTTTGTTAACAAATTTTGCCCACGGTCCTTGCTACCTTTATTCATGATTTAACGTAATATTGCTGTGAAAGAGCGGTGGTAGGGATTCTGGAGTCCAGGAAACTTGAAGAGATTGTACATCTCCCTCATACGTTAAAAGATTTTATCGTTAAATAATGAATTAATAAATAAATAAAATTAATTACATAAATAAACACCGTTGAAACGTATTGGCAAATAATTTTCTTCACGAAATATGTCCTTAAACAAGGACTGTATCCTGCAGGCCAGTGGAAATTATCTTGTATTGGGTGTGGTGTTGATGAACCTTTTCTATTACACCTGAGACGCGGCAAACATGAACGTGCGCTGTAAACCGGCGTTGTAAGCGCCTTCGGTAAAACAAGGGACGAGCAAACTCGGACAGGTAAAACTCAAATTATTAAGAACGGGTGTGGACTCCTTCAATTAAACGCGAAGAGTTGTAGCCATTGATCCACTTTTAACCGCGTTAGAACTTACATTGCAATAGACAGGAGCGCAATTCACTAAGCCTAAGGCGCTAATAAAATAGTACATATCACTACATTATTCTGACAAAATAAATTTTACAATTCAAGAAAATGTTTTTGGACTCCGAGGATTTGCCTATTAAGGTTGTTAAATACAGAATAAATAATCTGTGAGCCTTCGACATTCATTCCCACGAAGGAATAACTAATTTAACTGTTTGCTTGTAATTCTTTTCTCTGTTTCACCTCTCATTTAGTTGACTTTGAAATTACAAAATATTTTTTTCTGGTTTTGTCTGAAACATCAAATTGTTACTAATTTGAAAGCATGCTAGCTATTTTGTAAACGAATAAAATCGTTCGAAAGGTTGCTGCATCTGAAATAACACCACTAATGAGAGGAACACTTGTTTGGTACAATAATCAATATCTTTGTCCAAAATGCAATTGAGTTAATAAGAAAAAAAATAAAAATTTATTTTTGAAATTAGTCATTCTGTAATGTATATTATGTTAGTCTATTATTATTGTTACTAAAATTCAATAACTAAACACATTTTCTTTGACGTTGGTAAAGGAATACCCCTGTTATGCTAATTCCTTTACGCGGTTCTAACCAGCAAGAGAATTACACAAGTTGTACTGAACCTGGTGAGCATTGGTATCCACATTTCTGCGGCGTATCTTCCGCTGCTCTCCCTGTAGGATTTCCTGATTTCTGGGATTGCGAATACTCAGAAGCATTTTCTTCACCCCTTGTATTACTTTGATTACTTTTTTGCGCTGTTGAATCTCCTGCTGTACTCCTTGCTTCTGACTTCTCTGATTGAGCATATTCGGAGACATTTTCTGAAGCCTTTTGAGAACTTTGAATACTTCTTTGTGTCGTAGAATCTTCTGCTATACTCCTTGCTCCTGACTTCTCGGATTGAGCATATTCGGAGACATTTTTTGAAGCCTTTTGAGTACTTTGAGTACTTTTTTGTGTCGTAGAATCTCCAGCTATACTCCCTGCTCCTGACTTCTCGGATTGGGTATATTCAGAGACATTTTCTGAATTTTTTTGAGTACTTTGAGTACTTTTTTGTGTTGTAGAATCTCCAGCTATACTCTCTGCACCTGACGTCTCGGATTGGGAATATTCGGAGATATTTTCTGAAGCCTTTTGAGAACTTTGTTTACTTTCCAAGAAAGAATATTGTGTAGCTCTTTCTGCAGCCAATGAATCCACAGTCTCTAGTTTTGCGACATTTTCGAAAGTCTTTTCCTCTTCGCGAAATGCCAAGGATGACCCCACGTCCCCAGATTCCGCACCTCTTTCTGCATCACCAGACTTTGAAGCTTTTTCCACTTCGACTGATTCCACTTCCGTATCTTTCCCTGCCTTTGACGATTCTTCAGTTTCTTCTTGAGTACTGTCCACAGTAGCACTTGACGTTTCCTCCATATTTAGACGATATGTCACTTGAAAGTGTTCATTTGTTTTCACAGTTTGTTTATCCCACTAACAATGCGGTTGACAAACGATTTTAAACGCGTAGTCTAAAAGAAAAAATGAAAAAACGTAATCTGAAAATCTCAGAAACCATTGCTTCAACGCCTTAAAAAATTAATGTTGGTAGTCGCCAAACTGCTTTTTAATTTCTTGACTTAGTATGTACTTACGTTATAAGGAGACATTGTTGTTATTTTGCGTTAGAAATCGGTGAATTCTCCACAGAAAAACTCGTATTGTGAGGCTCTGGTATCGAAAAAGTGAATAAATGGTGTTTCTGTATGTTGTAAATTACTTTTTCTAACTCGCTGTGTAGTCAAAGCAATGTATTATGGGTCCTTGATACCGAAATATTTGTTGACAACAAAACGTCTTTCTGTCTGTCCGTCCGTCCAACTGTCTTTCTGCTCATCCGTCTGTTGTGAACACTAACGCTTAAACTGTTAAGACGATTTGCTCCAAAATTGATATTCCAACGATCTGAACAAAATCAAGGCCCTGCGAGTATTAAACGGTCATTTTAATTTTTTTGTTTTACTGTACATAAAGCCTCAGGAAAATTTTCAATTTTTTCTCAGAAATGTCAGGTTTTTTTATTAAACTTTTTTCTTGGATAACACTAAAGACACTTACAAAATGGATCATCTCGCATTTTCGTTGAGATATCTGAATTTCCGAATATAGGAAAAGTTTAAAATGTTTTCGGCGTCATCTTACAACTACAATACTGAAGGTAGAGAATTTTTCGTAATGTAATCTGTTCTTGAAATAATGTCAAGTCATTTTCACACAATTTTGAGCGAAATATAGGTCGTTTTTAAACAATTATATTTTTTTTAAATGACTCCAAATTTTCTCTTGAATTTCTCCCATTGGATAGAGGAAAGGCCGCTAAAAATAGAGCAATCGGGTGTTCGTTGAAGTACTTGAATTTTCGAAAATTGCAAAAATTATATAACTATACGAGGAAGTATGTTCTGTTGTAGCACCACTTGTTTGCTATTTCTTGATATTATTCAACCCGTCAAATAAATCGAAACCACGCAAGACATCTATAACATAAACGGTATGCATAAATAAAGTTATCTAAAAGTGTTCATACCATGCTCTATCTATTTACGAAGAAATGAATTAAAAGATTAATTATTTGATATTTACCTCAAATTTAATTTTTCTTTGAAACAATTTCATTAATACAATCTTATTCAATAACGTGACTTCTTTTATCTTTCAAATAGTGTTGCATTATGGCGTACATAACTGATAATAGAAAAGGCGTTCCGTTAACTTTTCATCCAAAGGGACTGATTTTGTTTTACAATGGAATGCATTATGCTATTTTAGATGTCACCGTGTGGATCATGTGGACATTCAAATTTTATACCCAATTTCATCCGTGTAAGGAAAGACAGTAATTCAGTATTAGATTTCTTAGTGAAACAGGATGGAATTTAACAACCGAAGAAGAAGACATAGTTTATTTAAATTACGTTCTAGTTTTTTGATTATACTATTTGAAATGGATTTTGACTACTTTTACTGTCAATAGTAAACCAAAATGTAATGATATCATGAAACATTGGTAAATATCTCGCTATTTTATGACACTTATTAATACATTGTCTACAATACACCTATGAAGCCTTTTCATAGGTTCCATTATTATATCAATTATCAAGACTGCGTATCGTTTCCGTTGTCAGAGAAATCTTTCGAGACGTTTCTCTCAAAACGTCATTTTTTGACTTGAATTCGTATTGCAGCCAATGAACAATGTACTACTGTGTGTTTTGCGTACTCACCAAAACCTACAGTTTTAAAATTTCCATATTTTCAAGAATCGAACTATGAAGGAGACGACCAGTTTTAGCTACCGAAAGACCTAGTACAATATCATGTTGCACCTCTCACCCCACCCCACCCCGAAAAAAGATTTCTCCATATTTACTGAAAGAACACTCATAAAGAAATGGCTTTTTGTAGAAATACAAATGAAATTTTAAAAAATCTGATAGAATTAATTATATATTGTACGTTTTGTTTCAATTCAATATTAATATCTCGTCTACAATTACAGATATATAATTAGTAAACACAGTTTTTAAGTTTAAATAAAAACTGTTTAGTTTAGTAGACATTTTTATTAACAATTATTGTACATATACAAACCTATTTTACTATGTGTGTTTCAGGGTGCGGAACCCCTTATGGAAGAAGGGCCCAAAGCAACTCTTTGGAGGCAACTCCAGTCCTGATGGAAAAACCCCAAACGTAATGCAATATCTATATTTTATGTAGATAATTTATTATCAACAAAAACGAAGCAGAGGATTTTGTATGTTTTCCAATTTGCGATGTTTACTGTAGTCTGGTATTACAACGATGTGCATGGAGCCTTCCGTGAGCACATATTTCGGTATTAATAGTGTACGCTTGGGTCGAAAGAATGCGCCAGAAGCATAACCTTCGCCAACCAACGCATGGGGCTCTTTGCCTTTTTCCTCCAAGCAGAGGCCAACACACGGCTCCCTGTTGACGTCACGTTCCCGGCTGAGAAGCCTGTTGCGGTCGACCACTTCCGTGTGTCCACCAGTGGGCGCTGTAAACGTTACTCTGGCGAGCGGCTTCCTCTCAACGTCTAAAGCCAGTCGCAAATGGCGTGTGGAGCGATTTAATTGTAAATAGTAGAAGCAAATTGTTGGTGTATACGAATTCTAGTTCGTACGTATTTCCTTATACAGAGTGCCCCACTAACTGTGGATCATCCCCATAACTTCTAAACGGTTCTGGATATCGAAATGCAGTTTTCACTAAACAATGCGTAATTATGGGACACGTAACATGCCGTAGAGAGATTGTCTGTAATAGTTTCAGCTCTCGAGAAATTTAATCATCTTTAATTTTTTTAATGGAACTAAATATTTTTCTCACCAGCAATGGGTAGATCATGAAAGAGGAATAAAATGATGTATTGTATGTTAGTATTTTCATAGTAATTTAAGTATAAAAAATAGACTTTTTGACTTCAGATTTTGAATTAAACCGACCGTATTTCGTGTAGCAGCCCTAGCAACTCTCGCCTTTGGGGAAGGTGGCCTTCGCGGCGTCTGTTGCGTGGAGAGGGGAGACTGAGAGGGGTGGCATTGAGTGATGAGGCAGAACTGCAACAATTCATGGCATTGACATAGAGGTCACCAAAGCAAATTCGGTTACCTATTGAATTCCATTTGAGTCGTATTTATTCAGTAACATCAAATAGTTGCGAACGCAAAGAAATTTCCAAAGTGTTTCTTCTAAAAAATTGTCTGATATTTAATCTTATGTTAACAGATGTTTTATTAATAATGAACTAGCGTGCCCGTGCCAGATCTCTCACATGTTAATCTCCATCCTTTCCCTATCCATTTCCCTGTCCTTTCCCTTGAAAAAGAAAGTTGTTAATGAAATGTGTTTATCTGTTTAAAAAATGTTTAAGTGTAACTTTGTACTTACACAATATCAATGAAAACGATGCAATTGACGTTGGAAACAAATTTTCAATAAAGGTTTATTTAGTATTATAGAGATATGTTTTTCGAGCAATTCACACTTTCTTAAAAAACATTTGAAATTTCTTGTCAGTTAGCTTTACCCTTTCCTTGATAGTCACACAAATAATAGAAAAGGTTTTTACTCCAGCTTGCTGGGGTGCGAAAATTGAAAATCTTATTTCTATACCAAAAAAAATTCGATTATTTTCTTACGTTCTTTTACGTTCTTCTTACGTTCTTCAAGAAAAGCAATTCCAAGCCAAAATATAATAAACTAATATTTTATCCTTTGAGTAATAAATAAAATTGTTATCCCTAGAAACAAATCTGTATGCTTCGAATTCATTTTGGTACATGGGAATGTTGCTCAAACGATGTTTACATATTGAATATCTTAGCGAACCGAACCGATTAATTTTAATATTTAAACGGTATATTATTTGAGGGTGTCAGCGCAATAGTGGCCTATCCCCAGATCCTGTGTTTGGAGAAAATGGCTGATGAAGTTATTGGCAAAATTAAACACTCATTTGTAAGTGTTTTCATAATATGATGTTATGTAAGAATGACCACTGACTAAACATTTGTGGTGGATTACATCTTGTGTAAAACAGCATCGCCTATGCTTAGGCCACTATTGCACAAAGAAATGTAATCGTAAGCTGAGTGCAATAGTTCTTTTTGTAATTATAACTTGAAAACTATCGACGCAAACATGCTGAAACTGTTACACGTTGAAGTTAGGGAGATTAAGATGTGATTAACACAGAGAACGCAATTTCCTAAAAATGTGGGATAGGCAACTATTGCGCTGTCACCCTCATTTACAGTATGAGTTTACAGCTGAGCATTGATGTACAGGTATCCAGATGCCGCCAACATTTAAATCGTACGTCTGGATTGCAATCGTTAGCAGTTTCGAATGACTTGCTCTATTCTTTCTATAATTTTAAATTTGGTTGCTTTCAAATATTAAGTCACGTAGTATTATAGGCTAGCGCGTTTTGATTTTTGTTGTTCATTTATTTCCAGCTATTTTACTTTAGTTAGTTAAAAAAAGTTGTTCTTTGTGTTGTGCCATAGGGAAAGTTTTCTCCTACTACTTCCGCGTACACGTGCGAGAACTCTCGCATGTTAAATCCCACAGTCTTCCCTATTCTTCTGTTTCCATTGTAAGAAGGAAAGTTTATAACGAAATGTATTTATTTGTTTAAAAATGTATAAAAGTAACTTCCATTGTACTAAAACAATATCAAATACAAATAAAAAGCAGTGCAACTGATGTAGAAAAGAAATGTTTAATATAGATTTGTTCAGTATTATCGAGAGATTTCTTGGAACAATTCACTGCACTCTCTTAAAAATATTTGAAGTAATTATTCAATATTCTTTGGCAGTTAGCTTTTCATTTTCTGTTAGTCACAAAAATATTTTAAAATACCTCTTTACTCTTCAGAAAGCTACGTGAGTGAACACACTGACTTGCAAGTTTCACCGACTCATTGCTGATAACGAAAATTCTGGTACAGATAAAATACAAAACAAACCTAACAAGACATGTCTTCACTCTTCTCTTTATACCCACATCCCTACACAATTAGGTACACAGCACTTGTAGACTTCGGCAAAACGTTAAATGAATGTGTTCACTACACGTCTAAGAAACAATCTTCATTGGAATCAAGCGACTATTAATAAAACTTCTAGTGGTTGATGTGAGAGCGAATCTTGAATGAATAATTATGTAAATAAACCTCGTCATTTTGTTCAAATCTCGGTGTACACAGAAAGCGTAAATAAATAGTATAAGATAGATGAATCTAAGCCTTCTAAGCGTGACGTCACAAAGATGGCAACCATCATCAAGGGTTGAAATCTCGGTGGCATTGGTAGTATCGATAAGTGCAGAACCAGCAAAAATTTAATAGAATGTCCAAAAATATCTCATTCTATAGATTACAGTCTGCGCGTTTCTTTGAGGCCTTTGGCCTCAAGATATTACAAGGGCTGATGCAGAAGTCATTGCAGAAGTTATTTTTTTTTTCTAGAAATGTTATCGGACCACAATTTGATTTGTCTCGTGAAAGAAATTTACTAATGTTTGTTCACAACAACAGATGGCTATGTGTCTGTAATAGCACAGAGAGCAATGTGAACTCAGCTGTCTGACTACCGCTGTGCGATATGAATTTATCCCGTTTCGAGCAGCGCTCATACACCAAGGTAGCCGTTCTTTATGGGAGAAATTCCAGAGAATTGGTGGAAGCTCTTGAAAATAATGTTCTTCCATATCAGACAGCCGCGAGATGGGCTGGAGAGTTTCTGCGAGTACACGGAGTAACCATTGACCAGAAACGCACGAGACGACCTGTGAGTGTGCGGACTGATGTAGCATGTGCGGCTATCGAGTATCTTCCTAATCTGGCCTTTAGAACGGGCGTGTAATGCTTTCGGAATGTTGTGACCTCGTATACACTAAAATGCTTTGGAACATGAAACCAATACTGTAATGTTAAATACCTTACTAAATATGAGAAACACAATTTTGGTGTGTAATTAAATATCCATGCACATAGTTCATGCCTTGTCCTTTCATATATATATATATATATATATATATATAAAAAACATTTTCGACCAATACTTGTATTGACACACAAAAAAAATTGGCATAACTTATGCCTCAACCTTCGTGTATTTCGAAATTTTACTCCTGGCAAGATAGATTACAAGGTGTTTATGTGGTTAACCGAAAATACTAATGGTCTAATTTTGAAATATGGGCGCTGATGAAACCTCTATATACTCAAAAAACGTACCACTTTCTATTATTAGCCACACAAGGTACTGAAAATGACATCAAAGTATTCTATTGAAATCAATGCTCAATGGCCCACAAAGATTGCTTTCACCAATGTATTAAAAATGGTTTTTGTCTTGTGTTTGCCTTATAGGCTTTTCTTTATTTACACCCGAGCTGCGCCGCCGGTCGAAGTATTACATGTTTTTGAAGAATTTTTTAATTACAATCTAATAATAATTAAATTTTAAACACGACACCAAATAATAAATAAATACATTCTTTTTATTGCGTATGAGAAAAAGGGAATTTTCAGGGTATTGTTGACATTGAGAAAATGATATTGTTAAAAATGCATTGCGCATTTATCAGTTCGAATAAACGTCTATGGGAAAAACAGAATTAGGAAATATAAATAATTCATTGCAACCTAATAATTTTATAATATCCGTATGTTGGTTGTCAGGATACTGCTTGAGTTTCATTGAGAAAAAATTGTTTAATTTGATGTTTTCAGAAATTTTCTATAATAACTAATGTCAACATCGTATATTCCAATGTGTATGATAATGAGAATACAGTGTCATTGCAATTTGCACTTGAATCCAGGAAAAAAATATAAATGAAATTATGCTTTCTCGTTATACAGCAAATATAACTCTTACGAACATTACGAATTTCAGTTATAAAAGATTAATTTTGGCCAATCGGCGCGAAAGGTCTCTTTAATCCCCTGTGTTTATTTCGTTTACAAGAAAGGCTGTGTATTTTCTTCGTCGCCCAAGCGCCTTCATCTATTTCCGCGCGAGTTGCGTCGCGAGTCCGCCTCTGACCGGAAGTGGCTCGGCGCAGGCGGTTTCCGGTGCGGCGTCCGGGACGGCGCGCGGCGCTGGGGGCCGTCCGCCGGCGCGGCGTAGCGGATTCGGAACTTTTCCTGCAGGCGAAGCAACGCCGCGCTGCGCCACTGGCGACTGTTGGAGCGCGCGGTCGACGGAGCGGAGTTCGCTAGTGCATCGAGAAGACGTACACAGGTTTCTGCAGCACAGACGTAGGCAAGTATTGAAAGATTTTTTTTAAAATGTTGGATTCCCTTGCGTTGCTTGGGCGGTGTTTTATTTTTTGGGGGGTGAGATAAATTATTGAGTATGGTTCTGGTGTGTCGCTCACTAAACAGCAAACGTGTGCAAAGTCAAGAAAATTTGCTCAAGGGTTTCTTTTGCATAGAATGCACAAAAGAAATTTATGGTATGATGTCATTCGAGAATGGAAGAGCAAAATAAAACTAGGAATTAAGCTTAAAAATGGGATGTACCTAAATACACTCCTATTTGCTGATGATCAAATTATAATCCAATAAAGTAAAGATAACTTACAGAGGTCAATTCAACAATTAAACCAACTTGCAACTTGCAAAGAATACAATCTAAAGATTTCAAAAACGAAGACCCAAACAATGGCATTTATGGGAAAGCATCCTATACGCACCAAAATAATTTTGGAAAATATAATGCTAGAACAAGTTAGCCATTTTAAATATTCGTGCTACAACATAGCATTATTCACATAAATGAATAAACATGAACAAATGCATAAATACCAGAATACATGCGAAAACATTCGGCGACTTCTTAAATATTAAACACATAGAGATACTCGCAGATATATACGTAGAGGATATATAAATTAATTGCTGTCCCGTCTCTGTTGTTTGGAAGTGAATGCTGGACTCTGAGAGAGAAAGATAAACAGGCTTTACAGTTTGTTCAAATGAAATTCTTGAGATTTGTAAAAGAAATGTACCGGACTAGATAACTCAGAAATGAGAAAATTTGAAAAGAATTTAACGTTCAAGCAATCAATGACAAGTTACAATGCTACAGAAAGGAATGGTTACAACATGTGGAAAGATTGGAAGAGACTCGCATTCCAAAGCAGGTGTTTAAGTATAGACCTCATGGCAGAAGAGACCCAGGTAGACCCTTAAAAATATGGAATTCTTAGAAGTCAGAAAATGTCATAGACCTATCCTTGAAGTGGAAAAGAAGGAGAAGAAAAAGAAGAAGAAATTTATGGTTTTGAAAACATATATTAGATGTTAAGGCGGCTCCCCACATTCGGCATTCGCCGAGCAGCTCTTCTAATCCCGAACAGCTGATGTGTTCGACGAATGTTCGCTCCCTTTGATGTGTCCTAAAGACCAACACGCGGTGAGTAGGTTCGATGCTCGGCGAATCGCGAGCAACCAGTCCACACAACTCGGGATTCGCCGAATGCCGCATGTATAGAGCTGCCTTTAGATGAGATGTTAGATGTGTGTCAGCGTTAGAAGTGAAAATCCTTCATACTTTGCACGAGAGTTATGTGTATTTTGTCGCTGATTTGTCTCTCACTGGACAGAATGATATTGCGTCCGCTGGGTACGTAAGGTGAATTTTTACTAAAATCAAGATTTTAAGCGTTCTGTGAAGTTTTGTATTTAGATGAATTTGAATAAATCCGTTTTGTTGTAAAGTTTAACGACTGTAAAGTTAAAACAGCTAAACATTCACACGAAAGAAAAGCGTAAGACACCCAAGTAAATGTATTTTCCGTTGACACATTAAATTTGCTAAAACTAATCTGGTGTCGCGTAAAAAAACTAAAAGCTTCCAGATAGTGCCAACAAGTCATGGTATCACCTTTATTATCGAAATTTTGCATTTCACAACACTAAAATGAAACTAGCACATACTTCCTCGCATTATTTCTAACTTTTGCTATTTCCGAAAATTCTGGGAGTTAAACCAAAAGGAGACCTGCACCATTCGCATTAGTTTCCCTTGTTCTACCTGTGAATAAATTTGAAGCAAACATTTGGAGCGTTTTTTAAGAAAATGTTTTCTTTTTTTGTAATTTGTGTTAACGTCAAGCAAAAATTGTGTGTAAACTACTTGTTTTTACCAAAAAATTGTACATATTCATAAATGAAAATTGGATGCCTTTTTTGGAGAAAAAATGTTAAAAAATTGTTTTATTTTACGCAAAATTACACTAAAAGTATCATGTTTTCGAAAAATTACACATGGTTTTTTAAAGATCTGTCCTTCAGCAACAGATTTTATTAAGGAAAAAATTCTCTCTCTCTCTCTCTCTCTCTCTCTCTCTCCCTATATATATATATATATATATATATATATAATTATATATGATATATATATATATAGTAGTTTTGCAGAAAGGGACGCCGAAGAAATTTAAACTTTAGCAATTTTCGAAAAATCACCAATTTTAACGAATTTAGACCTGAGCCATTCTTTTGCATATTCGAGAACAAAGTTAAATGACAACGCTTGGACCCGTTATTGAAAAATTTTGAAAATTTGTTGAAGCTTCATTGCAAAACTCTCCAAAATTAAATATCTGTTTCAAGCTCATATGACCCCGAATTACTTTAAATCGATTGGGGAGTATTGGAAAAAATAGGATGAAGTGTTTTGATTCTAGGATTGATCACAGACAGGCAGACGGATAGAGACGTTTTGCTTTCAATCGATTTACCAGTACCAAATACCTACAAAACATGGATTCTGGCTGTAAAACGTGTAAAGGAAGTAATTTACAACATATGGGAACAATATTTATTCACTTTTTCACGGATTGCTATCGAAAATTTTCCGTTTTCGGCGCACGATTACAATAGTTTTTATGAATTAAGGGTGAGGAAGAAAATACGTTGTGGTATGCTATGCATCCTCTCGTTTAATATCATCCCCTTTTCTTCATATTTTCTGATAGTTTACTCTCCTATAATTAAGTTATTAACTTTAGACTTTAAGAGATCAATTGATCAAGAAAAAGTATATTTCTCTATTTATTTCATGTTTTTAATTTTGATTATTATTTGTTTTACTTAACTTCGTAACTTAATTTGAGTAAGTTCATTTGTTTAATTATATGTTAATTTGCTAAGTTTATAATCTTTCTCTTTTACTATTCTAATTCCCATCTATATCCTTTCTTCGTAATCCACACCGTCTCTTTCATAGTCGTAGTCTCTGTAAGAAAAATGAGGTCGAAATGACGTTGCTGAAATGATTCTTTTTCAAATAAATATTACTTCATGTGATACAATCTACAATTAAATAAATACATTTAATGATATTAATTTCATTTTATTAAAAAATGAAAATAGAAATGGATTAAATACACGTATTTTGACATTTTCAAAATATTAAGTCAGAAGGTTTTAAGGATCATTGTTTCTTAGACGAGACAAAACATTCCACAGACATCCTTGTATATACGGAAGTTAATGCCGACATTTGAAAAATATATCGACTTTTCCTGTTGACAAGTATCACGTTTTCAGAGTTTCCGCATCTTGTGCAATATTGATACTTAGTTTTGATTTTTACTTGCGAAATGGCTTTTTCCTAAAAGAAAGAGTACCGGATTTTGTTCTTATCAAGGACACTTGTCACCAAACATATACCTCAGTCCCAAAGTAACGTCATTGTCATATTGTTTAAAATTAATGAAATGTGAGAAAACATATGCGCTTAATATTCGTGAATATTAAAGTAATGAAAAGTGTGTTGAACTACAGAATTTCGAGAAGTTCATAAACGTAGACCAGAACTACAGAAGTTCATAAACGTAGTGTTCAATTCGTTCCATATATGCTTTATAAACATGTCAAAATTATAACTGTAGTGATTTACCAGACGAATAGTATATTTAATTGTAAATAGTATTCACAATTATTAAATTAGATATGGGTAGTGGTATAATGGCAGCCGCAGAGACGAAACGCACAGGCAATACGAAAGAGGCACTGCAAGGACGGCATCAGACGCGCATGCGCAGAGCAACTTCTCTCGAGTAACGTAATACACCCAAGTGTTGCGGGAAGTCTATGTACAGGGGCTCTTGCAGCAGATGAGTGTCAACACTGTGATATTCGCAAAAGAGGAAGAGATACTGAGAGGCGGTGAGAGAAAAGGGGAGGAGGAAGGAGAAAGAGGGAGACGAAGGGCAGAAGAACGTCTACCGTCTACCAGAATACAATATCTAATCCGATATTACAAAGGTTCAAGTCCATGCAATGATCATACTCATTAACTGAAAATGATATGAAATAGGAAAATATTTATCGTCGATGTTTAAATTTTATACATTCCATAATAATTGTACACATTTTACCAGAAAAATTATAAAAGTTACATTTTCATTTGCTCTTATAAAACAGTTTGACTGAGCATATATTAATTGAACGGCATTTTAATCAATAAAATTAGAATAATTTAATATTATTTTATCTGTCTTCCTTTCAAACTTCAAATAACTCCAGTGTTTGATATTAGTGACCCATGAAAAAATCTAATTGAGAAGCACTAACCTGAGGTGTTGTGTTCAGAATATGTACGCTGAAGTTATCGTAACCCTCTAGTTTTCAACAGGGAAAGATTTGAAGGAATGCGTGTGTGTCGTTATATTTTGGGCAGCCAAAGAACAATCGAGTGAAGGAATGTCGTGTTGCAGCAGCAGCAGGAGGCCGCGCCGGCGAGGCGGGCGGGGCGATGGTGGTGACGGGGCCGGTGGGGCCCAACCCGTGGGCGATGCCCGTGGCGCTGGCGCTGCACGAGAAGGGCGAGAAGGAGGACGCGGGCGTGGGCGCGGACGACGCCGGGTGGGCGCGGCGCTGGCCGCTGCACGCCGCCGCGCAGGACGGCCACGTGGACCGCGTGCGGCACATGCTCAAGGTACCCCCCTCCCCCCTCAAACCTCCTCACTGCACGGCCTCCGACCGGGAGGCCTGCGGCTCCACCCTCGACGGTAGCAGGAGTTTCGATACTAGTCACATAGCAGTTTGATAAGCCTAAACAGTAAGCAAAGAATAAACAGTATAGTTAATATTGTTAATATTTCCCACCTTAGAGACGCTGATCTCACATCGCGCATGATCTCAAGAGACTATCACTCATGCGATTTCGCACGTGTCAAATCAAAGTGCCCAACCTGAATTAAAGTTGAATAGGGGGAGAGAGCGAGTGAGATAGCTAGTGAGAGAGAGTTAGTGGAAGCGAGAGAGAGAGAGTGAGTGAGAGAAAACGAATAAGTGAGCAAGAGAGAGAGAGAGAGAGAGAGAGAGAGAAAGATAGGAGCGAGGACACAAATGTTAGTGTCGTACTACAAACCTTGTTTGCATGGAAGCACGTTATGTTTCTATACGCCTGTCCGAGAGGCACCTCGTCCTAGTCACAGATGCCAACGTTTTGGGCGTCATACTGCAACCTTCGACAGCACAAAACGCATTTTACTCTAAGAAAGGTCGCCGAATGACGACTGAAACCTTGGTCTCTGCAGTTAAGACGTGTCGTTACCCGCACAAGATACCGGCTCTATCCGCGGAAGCGAACGCTTTCACGTTCTGATGACCTCACCAGGCGGCTATATTAACTGATTAGTGATTCTGGGCGCGTCAACTGCTAAGGTCATTAGTACCGTAAGTGTAGTGTATGTTTTTTCTCATGGAAGATGGCGGCGATCTTTCCCCGCTGATTGGCGAGATCCGGCGCCGATCTATGTCGGCTTGCGGGGATTTTCCCCAACAAGGTATCTTCCATCAGCGAGGCACCGCCCCACGCTCTAAGCTCCCTGCCAGCCTCCTGAGACGTATGGTAGTGTAGTGCATGTGAGTGCAAGTGTGTGTAAGTAAGGGGCAAGGAAGACGAAGGAGAGGGGGCGCGCGGTCCGTGCTCAGGCATTCGCCTGGTGTTGATCATCGGAGAAACCACGGAAAGCTACCGGTCAGAGCAGCTTAGTTGTCTAGCTAATGTCAGGAGTGGAACCCTAGGACCTCCTGGTCAGGGACACTCGAGTGCCGTTCATTGACTGGCCGTCGCGCGCAGGCGGACTGCTGCCCGTGGGCGTGGGACGAGCGCGGCGACGCGCCGCTGCACTGCGCCGCCCGGGCCGGGCGCGCGGCCGCCACGGCGCTGCTGGTGGCGGAGGGCGCGTCCCCGTCGCAGGCCAACGGCGCCAGCCTCTCGCCGCTCGAGGTGGCCGCCAAGGAGGGCCACTACGACGTCACGCTGGCCATGCTCGACCGCGGCGCCTCCGCCAACTACAGGCTGGTACGTTCTACAGGGCCTGCGCCCATGCTTCATTTACTTATTTTCATCCTCGTAGAAAAGCTCTCTTGTCTTCTTCTGCTTCGGCATTTCCCCTCAGGAGCTTACCGTTTTCACCCTCAACAACTCTCCCAATCTCGTGGTTTGAGGCCATCGCCCTCCGAAGCTTCCTAGGTGTATTTTTCCCATTCTAAAACTGGTTCATCTGTTCTTTGTCTCTCAGGTGGTTCCCACTTTAAGATCTGTGTGGCTATATGTTTTCCAACATTCTCTGAAAACGTCCGTACCATTTCAGTGATTTATTTTCCAAAGTCTTCGTAATAGAACACATTATATTTATCCTTCTCCATATTTCTTCCTTTTGCACTTTCTCCATATGAGTACGTGCAGACAGTGTCTCATGTTGTCCATTTCGACTGCCCTACTTTTTTGTAATTGTGGCCATATTTCCGTTCCATATAATACTATATTTTCTACCGTGTGGTGGAATATCTTTCTTTTGACATATTGACGGATATTGTTATTCCATAATACGCCATGTAAAGCTATATTTTCTTTCTTCCGTATAATTACTCTGGAGTTAAAATTTGTGGCACATGTACACGAGTTGTTTAATATATATTCAAGATATTTAAAGGCATTATTGCATTTAATTTATTAGCATTCACTTCTACATTCCTTATTGCTCGTCCAATGCATACACAACCAGTTTTATTTAAAAAATGTATTTCTAATGCCCATTTATTATATTCTTCTAATAGATTCCTTTGCATGAACACCCAATCCTCTTCATCTTGGGCAAAGATTACTCTTACGTCAGTAAATAGAAGGGAGTGAATGAACGGTGGCTCGAATTTTTATTCCCATACCTGAGCATTTCCTGTACCTTTTAGATAGGGCTTGTTCTAGGTAGACATTGAACAAAATGGGAGATAACCCACATCCTTGTTTTAGAGTCTTGTTTGTTATAAAGCTTCAATTTCACTTATCACTTTTCACACATTTTAATTTGCCCTTTGGTGATTTTGTGAAATGGGACTTAAGCTAGGTTGATCCACTATCTTAGACATCAAGTCTTCTCGTTACTCCCCATATCTCTTCTATCTTTTGTGGAGGACTCTATCATATTCTTTCTGGAGGCGTTTAATTGTCACATAAATATTCATATTTATGCTCTTCTGTAAAATTATAAAATGTACTACCTACTTGGTAAATACTTGGCAAACGCTTTGTAGGCAAAATATAATGCGCTTGGAATGAGATACTGGTAATCCCTTTAGTGTCGTTCACAGCAGAGGCAATTGAATGTTCAAAGAATTCTGTAAATCAAGTGATCAAAATGAATAATTATCCCATTCAAAGATAGTGCATGCATTAGTGTATTTTTCATACTTTGCAACGGGCTTGCCAACCTCTAGTACAAAAGGAAAAAACAAATATCACAATTTTGCTTGATGAAGTGGCTTATCATTCACTAATCCCAAGCGGCTCACAAATTAAAACAATTACCTTTTTGTGCCAACGTTATTATAATCCCCGTTGATAACAATTTTAATAAAGTTCGTTAATGTAAACTTATAGGAATAAAATTACCAAATGTTCACGTTAATGTCAAATATTACATTGAACAATTATCTCAATCACCGCGAACTGAATGCTTCCTTAGCAGCAACGTACATTATGTCAACGTCACGTTCATTTTCTGCGGCATTCGTGTTACGTTCGCATTACGCGTCCCTTGTATTTATTGTGAATTCGATGGCGATCGAGCAACAGGAATTTAAACATTAAATTGCATTTCAAGAAAAGTTGAAATAGAATTTCGTGTAATAAACGAACAGTAGAATCAATTACAAAAATATTAAACTCACTACATTTTAATATAGTAGATTTTTCATGTAGATTGTAAATTCAGTTTTGAATATCAAAGCAACTATTAGGGCTAAAACAGTACGTACTTTCTCGTCCATAATTTCACGCAAAATTACGCGAAAAGTAGTCAAGTTTTTGAAAAATTGTACTTGATCTTATTTCAAAATATATCTTTAAGGAAAAGATTTCATTCAGGAAAAAATTCTATCTTAAAAATTATGGTTGTAGAAAGACGCCAAAACAATTTTGAATTTTTGCAATTTTCTAAAAATCTGGGTTTTTAATGAACATGAGACCTGCACCATTCTCTTAAACGTTCTTCGTACTACCGAACAACAAAGTTTAATCAAAAATGTTTGAAAAAGTCCCAGGGGCCAAGAACCCCTCCAAAAATACCGGTTTCAAATTTAAGGGCCCGCGACTTTATCCTGATCGATTGAGAATTATAAATTTTGGAGAAAATCGGCTGAACGGTTTAGCCTCTGCGTTGTTCACGGACAGACAGACGGACGGACAGGCGTTTTGCCGTTATTCGATTTTTCGGTATCAAGGACCCATAAAACATGGCTTTTGGATTTTTTCTAAAGCTAGCAACTGTATTTATCCCCTTTTCCATTGCAAGTGGCATGTAATAAGAGTTTTCTGCCGAAAATTCGCCGTTTCTTCGCGCAGCATTACAAAACTTTCTCTCTACTGCTTACGCGAACGCGAGAAAGTAAAAACCACTCCCTCCTTCGCCAACAAAACGACCTAACCGCATCTAACGTGCGTGGCGCGCGCGCGTGCAGGTGGAGGCCGCGCTGCTGGTGGCCAGCACGGGGCCCGTGGTGCGCGCGCTGTGGCGCTCGCTGCCCTTCGGCGCGTCGCGCGTCACCTCGACGGAGGCCCTGAGGCGCATGGCGCGCGACGGCCACGAGGACGCGCTGCGCACGCTCATCGCCATGGGCGCGCCCTCCAGCGCGCACGAGGGCGGCCTCCTCGCCACGCTGCTCGCGCTCCAGGACGACCTGCGCCAGGTGAGCAGCGCCTCGCGCACGCCCACGCCCACGCCCACGGACAGCGTTCAAGATGCTTCAATATGGGCTTTGCAAGTTTAAAGGCTCGAATTGGTTTATTTGTTTAACTTCGTTTTGGTGTCAATCTGTATTAAAATACACCAAGTTTTACTTAACAGATTCAAATTTTAGATGCGATTCAATGTCGCTTCCATTGGTCATGTGGCACATATATCATTATATTGTCTACTTCGTGGCAAACCCGCTGCAGCTTCTCGTGCTTTGCGACGGATTCTAGCACAAGTTCTAGCTCTCAGCTCTGGTAGAAAAACTGGTAAGGGTGGAACAAACGGTAACCTTGATGAACCCTCAAAAGAAAAAAAACAAGGTGTGTTAGACCCGGTGAAAGTGGGGCTCATGTAATTTCCACTCCTCGACCCAACCACCATGTAGCAATTCCCAGCACAATTCCTTACGAGAAATTATTAGTTTATTTTCGTTCATGCACCATTGTTAACTTGAATGAGATGCAACCGTTTTCTCAAGTCACGCCAAAAGTCGTATGTGGGACGCCTAGCTGTTGAGAAGCACGCCAGTTTGATTTCGTAGGACTTAACAAAGCTTTGCCTCACCTGCTGTAAGTCGTCAGACGTGACCTGAGGATTAGCTGTGTCTCGCCGTACATTCAGTTTCATTAAACCACATATGCCACTGTTAAACAGAAGGCGTACAGGTAGGATCTTCACCATAGTTTGCTTGAAAATTACATGGCACAGTTGTCGCAGGCGAATTTTCAAACCAAAACACGCAGCGAGCACGATCCGGGCCAGAAGAGGCAAGGGCAGGCTCAGGACCGCTAATCTTGAATCTGCTGGTAGTGCTTGCGGTGCCGCGATTCGGTACTAAAGTACCACATGAGTCAAAACTTGACCTATTTTCCTTCCCAATGGTGCCTAAACTAACTCTGGGTCGTTTGAATGAGTTTGTACTAGCATTCAAAATTGTAAAGTCCTTATTGAAACACTCTGTATAATGAATAAACAATAAGATGATCAATCAGCTGAGATCGCTAAGGCAGTAGTGCCGTAGAGGTCTCGGACCAGATGATTGCGGGTTCCACCTCGGGAATGGGTGGGTTGTGTTCGTTGTTTTGTCCTTTCACCCCTCTCTATCATCATTTTCATACCCCCAGGGCTAACAACCCTGGGGGATACAAATTGGATCCAGCTTAATGCTGACCTCCCTGATAAAAATTACATACACCTGCCTCCGAGATAATGTTTCTGGCCCCGGTAAATGCAGATTGCATGCACACGTGGTCCAAGTCGGCCTATTAGCGAGCAAAAAAACAGTAACTGGATAATAAATAAATAATAGATAATAAATAGAATCGAATATGTAAATAATATGATAAACTCTTCCTTAAAGGAGGGTTTTAAACGAGAGTGAGGATGTAGGAAGTTCACGCTGTCGAGTAGGGACGGATTCAAAATATTTCAGATGGGAGCAAATTTCAGTTCTCCCTCCTCCCTAAATATTTTTTGAAATAATTGTTTGAACCCCTTTGACTGCTCTAGACGATTTGATACGCAAAATATTTCCGTGCGTGGTAGTCTCTGGACGAGTTATTACGCTCAGCCAGATTGTCGCTAAGGGCCTCTGGACGAGTTTGCACGTGCAGTCTCGCTTTCGACTATTGCTAATACTGATTGATAACCGAGATTTCTTGCACCATATCTTACGCGAGCGATCTTAACTCACAACGACCGGCACGCTGCGAAGAAGCATGGCGCAAGATGCGTGACTTATAGTCTGCCGGCCCGTAGTAGTTAAAGGGTTCGCTTGAAATAATAAAATATATACGAGTATATTCACTATGGGAATGGTACTGTGATGTAACCTATTTTTCTTTATCTAAGGTGAGGCCGAGTTTTAGTTGGTAGGACCGTCTCTTATGGCGATCCTAGCTTTAAATACAACACACTTTCTTGTTCTGTTACACTGCTAATGGTTAAAATGACAAAATGAATGGCAACGAAAATTAAGAGAAACAACAAATCACACCGAAGAAGCACTAAAGCCAATGTGCACTGAAACACAGCACGTTCTCCCCTATCTCAGGGTTACTCATCAGCCGGAGAGTGACAGCATATCAGAACCTGTCCCATCAATAAAATCTGTCTTTTGACTCACTAACACTGACAGACAAACTAAATCAACTATGCTGATATAAACAAAAAATGAGGTAATATATGGTTATACTACGATAGTTGTACGGATTTTGAAAAAAGAATGTTAAGATTACTTTGGAGATTTGGGAATCTTAAAACGGATGTTATATCTCGGAGGCTAAGATCCATCGAATCTCATGTTGTCTACGAGGCATATGTACCATTCGCGCTTTTGGATTTCGTAAACAAATATGGACAGGGTAGATATCAGTTAATTATACGACTTGAGAACAAAAAAGGTTCGTAATTAAGTTAATTCATTACTACGGAAAGGATTGGTTTGACATTTTTTTTTCGGAGTTCTGACAAGGTCCTAAACCGATACTTTTACCGCTCAGCCTTCTTCAACCCCTTGATGTCAGCTGCGCATTGGTGGCAGTGACGCGTTTCCCGATTGTGCAGAGGAGGAAAAACTTGTTTCCTTCCGAACATCCGGTTGATGGCAAAACTAACCCAGTGCCAGGAATTCTATTTCCGTCTTTTCCAACTGGCAAAAGTCTGCTCGTGCGCTGAGACGATGAACATTTTTAACTGATCACCCTCAATCTTGACATGTGGTATCTACTTTAACTGCTACGTGCTTCATTTGTTATACCATCGGAATTTTTGAAAAGTCACTGGAAAGCGGACTCAATAATTAAGCAAGTTTCGGCTTGATTAGATACAATTTTCAGAATATTGTGATTCGAAACTACTAATTCATTACCATTATGCAACGAAGTAATGCAAATCCGACAAAACAGCAGATATATTTTACATCTCTTTGCTCTCCTCTTTCTTAAAAATTTCTATGATAAAAAGTTTATTTATGAAAACTATCAGACTTATTCACCTCGTTTCTGTTGATTCGATAGTATTAAAGGGGTCGCGTTTCAGAGCCTGTCCCAACAATCGAATTGTTGCTATTGTTGAATTATTGGCGTGCAGGATGTTGAGAAGGAAACAACCAAAATCATCAATTAAATTTCACACGAAATTACCCATCACCCATCCGCTCACCCAGGACCCACACCCAAATTACTAACACTTGACGCAAAAGACTACTAGATGGAGATCGCGGTAACAATGATATCTGTTCAATAATTCCCTACCATACTGCATAGGAGTTTTATTAATTCTATGTGAAAATAAGGTATAACAATAATTTTAATACGGAAATGATTTTCTTCCCAGATGAACGCATCGCACGGCGTATCGCAATCACCATTTCAGCCTTGTCTCCTTTTACATTCTCCCCTTATACATTCACACACTTCTTTACCATATACCAGGAGGCCAGCTTATCCGGTTGGGGTGATGCCTCGTTGCACAACAATATCTGGAGGGGGAAATGCCGGAAGCTGTCGTGCAGGTCGGCGCAAGATTTCGTGTTCCACCAGCGAATAAACATCGTCACCTCCTGGCTATAACATGAACTGTATTCACGAGACTAATGACCAAAGTAGTTGATGCACCCGGAAACATAAAATACACACACACTCGCTCAATTCATTATTCACACACTCGCTTATTTGCTCATTCACTCTCTCGGTCGTTCACTCGCTCGTTTACTCACATGCTCAGTCATTCACTAACTCACTCGTTGGCTCTCTCACTGCTCACTCACTCTCTTGCTCATACATACATACATACATACATTTGCTCATTCTCTCATTCACTAACTCGCAGGATGTCACTGCTCACTCACGTGCCGGCTCATTTACTTACTCACTCGCTCACTCATCTCTCGCTCTCTCATCACTCGCTCACTCATTCACTCGCTCACTCACCACTGCCTGTGTGTGCGCAGCGCGCTGAGATGGGGCGCGACGTGGCGACGCTGAAGGCCGTGGGACTGACGCCGCTGCACATCGCGGCCATCCACAACCAGGCGCACTGCGTGCGGGCGCTGCTGGAGTGCCGCGCCAGCGCCAACGCGCGCGACGGCGACGGCCAGACGGCGCTGCACAAGGCCGTGGGCCTGTCGCACGCCGACTGCGTCTCCGCGCTCATCAAGCACGGCGCGCGCCTCAACGTGCGCGACGCCAACGGGCGCACGCCGCTGCACATCGCCGCCTCGCAGGTCGGTGCGCGCGCCCCGCCCTGCCCCCACGGGTGCCAGATGCTTCGGACAAACATACGCCGTCGCATGGCTGCAAATGCGCCCAACAAGAGAAATTCAACTTTTAAAGCGGGACATTTGAATTTGCATTAAAATAATATTTCAAGATTTTTGAGGAAATGACCCTATGAAATGCTTGATTAGTCCTTTTTTTTTTAACATTGCAACTAATAACGTATGTAAAAACTTACACTTTTTGCAATAATAAGTTATATCTTAATATTTGAAAATTAGTTGTCACTATTCTGATTACTGCAGCAGATGGGAGGAATATTTTAAAGGATAAAACAATTATTTTCAAATGAGATTATTGTATTTATCACATTGTCATATCACATTGAAATGTCTTTTGGATGATTGTAGCTAAACTTAATTTTATATTGTGCGTACTAGAATTAAATGCAAGTACTGCCAATGTGATTTAATACGTACTGATGTTGGCCACGACAAAGCTATGACTTAACGACACCCTACTAAAGGTCTAAAATTACTCTACTCCTGATAAACGACTATTAACATTACTCACTTCTCAAAATAAATTTGAACGAATTAACAAATGCTTAATGAAAAAGCATGCATAAAGGAAAAAAACAACTAAAAAATCAAAGTCACTGTCAACGTGTTTGTGGTTGCTTTTTTTTATTTCGTCGTAATATGAAAACTAGCCTAAAACTGCACACGTTTTGATGTATTTCCGATCATTGGGCGAAATCAATTTTCCGCGAAATGAATTTTTGTCCCGCGAGAGAGAGCCGATTTCCAGCCCCAAAAGCGGAATTCCGCCCAATCTGGCAACCCTGCCTACCACGCTACTCTCCTTCTGCATGTGTCCTCCAAGCTCTCCCGCAATACCCCATTTCCCTCACCCATTTTAGCAGCTCCCGAACTTTATCAGACCCTCTCAACTTACAAAATCTCAACTTCTCTCCATAAATCTATTATAAGGGGCATATATTCCAATATGCTACAAACGTCAGCTGTCTTCCCCCAGTCCGGTCATCCGTGTTCCCCCTCTTGCCCAGTGTCCTACCTCTGCATGCAATACCGAATTTTCCCAACATTTCGCAAATTTTTCTCCGCCCCTCTGCGTTTTGTTTCGCCTGTATGCATCTACACATTCCTTCGGTCCCAGCTCTGCTTCTCCACATTCCACATTTTTGTCAGTCCCTTCTAGCAGTTTGTACTCTTTTCTAGCTCCCCTTGGCCTTGCTCTGCCCGGACCGCTCTTCAGCTATCCATCTCTTTCCTAGCCACGCTCCTCCGCATTCTATAATTTCCCCAGTTCGTAGCATCTCCCATTCTTTCCCCGCTCCTCTCCTCCTTGTTTCTCCCGCCCTGATCCTCCGGATTCCTCTTGCTCAGCCCTGCTCCTTCGCAATATCGAATTTCCTCAGTCCCTTCTCGCAGCCCCAAAACTTTCTTCCCATTTTACCCTCACTTTCACAAAGCTATCCATTCCACTCATTTTGATATGTTACTGACGCTGGCTTTTTTCAGCTGGTTCTACCACTTACATTCCCACATCTTTACCAGTCTCACTTCTCAATACAGATATTCCTCAAACCCATTTCTGAACTCTTTCTCCTCCGCCTTGCTATGCCCGCCCCACTCCTCTTTCCCAGGCCCGTCTCTCTGTAATACCGAATTTCCCCAACCACCTTCCCCAGTTGCCACTTTTCCTAGCTCACCCTACTTATCTAATCCACCCCTCCATTCACTCTCCAGTGTACCTCATGAATATCTATAAACGCCAGCAAGTCTCGTCCCAAATTTCCCTCAGATCTCCCCACTTCTGCTCCGCCTGGATTTCTATGCTCCGGCCCTTCTAATCTCATCTCGCCTCGATCAATCTCATATTCACGCCGACGCAACTCTACACTTTAATCCATGACGCTCAGTTAATCTCATGCTATTGCCCACCTTATCTCTCCCCATCTCGTTCCGCCCTGCTCCTTGTCGCCCCAACCTATTGCCGTCCATATTACCTTCATAAACTAATCATCCATCGACATTCAACTAATCAACACATTGTTCCGAAATCTTCCCGGGTTGGATGGATGGAAGAAAAAGGTAGCGATTAGATGAGGAGGAACGCCGCGCAGTCTTTTAAGCAGCGATGTGCACCGCTGGCGCAGGGTCGTCTGAAGCCGGCCCAGCAGCTGGTGGCGGCGGGCGCCAACGTGAACGCGCGCGACCGCCTGGGGCGCACGCCGCTGGCGCGCGCCGCCAGCAACGGGCACGCGGCGCTGGTGCAGCTGCTGCTGGCGCACGGCGCCGACGCCAACAAGCGCGACCGCGCCAAGGGCACGGCGCTGCACCAGGCGGCGCTGTTCGCGCACACGCGCTGCGCCCAGCTGCTGCTCGACCACGGCGCCGCGCCCAACGCCGGCGACCTCTACGACGAGACGGCGCTCCACAAGGTGCTGAGCGCGGTCCCCTTGTTTGCCTCCATCTGCTTACTCTCTTACTTCTCAGTAAATATTTAAAGGGTCCTTTAAAAGTATTGAAGGACTTGAATTTATTTATGGTAGTAACTATAAAACGTTCACATTACTGTCAACTCGTATATGTTTTATTAACAATTTGGCAATAAATCTAAGTTATATTTTTAGATGTATTACTATCACTTCTTTTTCTATTATAAAATGTTTAATAATAATAATAATATTAATAATTTAAATAATATGGTGAGAGTCGGGCCAACAGGCTCTTTCGCCCGCCTCACCACAAACCTCGGAAACAAACTAGCATTTATTTTTAAAAACATGCTTGAATTGTTGATATTATTAAATAAACTTGTGACTGACGACATGACGGCTCCCTCTGAATCTGTTATTTCTTCTTACATTCATTCTGGTTAGGCATGTAGCCAGGCTGTGGTAAAATATTGCCAAGCCACCACAACTATGTCCTTAAGCCACCCCTTGCGTGAAAAATCTTAATAATACAAGAGTTCTCTTACACATAACACAGTTTTCTGAAATTTTATATTTAAAAAAACGTTTCACTAAATCTACCGTGGTTTTGCCCCGCAGGCGGCGCTGCTGGGCAACGAGGAGATGGTGCGCGTGCTGGTGGACGGCGGGGCCAACGTGTCGGCGCTGGACGACGAGGAGCAGACGCCGCTGCACGACGTGGCCATCAAGGGCAGCGTGGCGTGCGGGCGGCTGCTCGTGGCCGCCGGCGCCTCGCTCTTCGACGGCGACATGGACGGCCACACGCCCCTCCACAAGGGTACTGCGCTCGCGCTTCGCGAAGCCTCCAACGGCTCGAGCGGGAAACGTTTCGTTCGGCGACCATCAAAATTCGCAGATTGGTTCACATTTTACAAGGAGGGGGAGAAACTCGTGAAGTCAACGATGAAAAAAGTAATCATCTTTTCCCCGTGCCCTCCGAGAGAAAGTTTCTGTAACTCTTGCAGTTGATTAGATCAAATATTAGTCATCGATATCAACAATAAGATGTAGTGTCCATATCTCGAAATAAACGAATATCATCCATCGGTACTTTTAGTAATAACATGGATCGAAATGTTGGAGCAGTACCTTAATAGATGGGTCATGATCAGCGTACGGTCATTACATCCTCATTTTTGTCTCTTCTCTCTTTACACACTTACACATGCGCTACGTTACACATTTCGAGAGAGTAGCAAAGAGCGTAGATCTTGTTTCAGCTGGGGCGGAGCTATGCTGAGGGAAATACCTGGAGAGAGAAACCACTAGTGAATGTGTATATCGGTACTGCCCCCTCCCGGTGGATTGATTCATTGATTAATGATTCCGTGTCAACTGCTAAGGTCATAAGTCCAGTAAGTGTAGTGCATGATTCTGTCGTTCGATATGGCGGTGATCTTCCCACACTTTTCGGGCATTCGTGACAATGTAGTGCGTGTAACTGTAAGTGTTTGTAAGTAAGGAGTGAGTGTAGGACAAAGAAGAGGAAGGAAACATCACACGCGGTATGTAACCTATTTGTTAGGGTACTGTTCCGGCATTCTCTTGACGTTGATCGGAGAAACCACGAGAAAATATCGATGAGAGCAGCCGACCGCTGCAATTCTGCTCCAGACAGCGACTCGCCCAACCTATCTAGCTAGTGTTGAAAATTTGCCACTTTCGAGACTCGAACCTTAGAACCTCCCAGCCAGACCTCCCCGTCGGAGACATCAACAATGTCCGGAGCCGCTTAAGCCAGTTTTCATTATATAAGACGTGCACAAATGACGTCAAGAGTCAATCGATGACCTCGGTGTTGCAGCGGCGCTGTACTCCAACCTGGCGGTGATGGAGTGGCTGATCGTGGAGCAGCGCGTGCCGGTGGACATCCGCGACACGATGGAGCGCACGCCGCTGCACTTCGCGGCGGCGCAGGGCCAGATGGCGGCCATGATGCGCCTCATCGGCCACGGCGCCGCCGTCGACGCCGTCGGCCTCAACGGCTGGTACCCCATCCACTTCGCCGCCGTGCAGGGCTACGCCGACTGCGTCTACACGCTCATCCAGCACGGCAGCGACATCGAGTGGTGGGACGTCATTGGTGAGCCCCGCGCCCGCAAAGTCGTTTGCACTGGCTCCGCCGAAATGATTTTATCTGTTCAATTGAAGGGTTTGGAGGCAGCAAAAATGTACGTCACGTTAGCCACAGCAAGCCTGCCGCTGCCACATTCATGAAAATTGAGAATTGATGTATTTACATTTACAAACAGCCGAAGGCTTGTAGTGAGTTTTGGTGCACATCTTGTTACTGCCGCATCTTCAATTGTTCAATCTGCAAAAGCCCCTGTATATCGACTTCCCGCCACACTTCAGCGTATTACGGTACATGCTGAAAACTATTCTGCACAGGCGCTCTTGACGTCTTTGCAATGCGTTTCGTCACAGCCATTGTCATTTTCCAGTACCCGAACTGCACTTAATTTAACAATTACTTCACAACAATACAATGAAAATATGTGCAAGTAGTATACATCGCGTTAGCTTTCCGACAGTGATTGTGGTTCACGTCCTCTTCACTCCATATGGATTTTCATATGAACAAAACGATACGTTTTCTTATGGTTCTCCCACCACCTAGACCATGTTTCTTACCCCTTAATCTCACAGATCATCTATGCCACCATCATCATTGTTATTCTTTACGCTAAATACTCAGTAAACCCTCTCGATGTGCGCGTTGTGAATTTGGCTGGGAAACAGTTGTTGTGTCAGACACTTTACGCAACACATAAGTAACAATCGAAAATATTTTTTTATGTAACAGTTTGTGTGAAATGACGTGAATAACGATGAAAATTGAAACCAAGATCAAAAGATTCTGTATTCTTTATAGACATCGGTGGTAGTATTACATTGATCCCAGGCTATTCCTGGGTATCTTAAGTAAATAAACACACTTCGAGCCTTCAAGGAATTTGATTTATAAGAATTTTCTATTTATATGAAATTTCCCGTGTTCATTAGCAAAAAGTTATCATCTTCAACCCCTACACTTCCCCTTGTAGTATGTAATATTTTTTCTGTGACAGCTCTCGCGTCCTAGCGCCGGCCCGTCCGACGATCGTGTTCAGGGTCGGTTCGCTCTGGCCCTCACGTCCCATATCTCTCGCCGTCGTGCTCGTCCTCTGGGCTGGGCGGCCTGGTCGTCCGGTTCGCCGTGGCTGTCCCCTACTTTTCTTTCTTTTCAAAGGGCGCAGGTTGCGGCCGCGTTTTTCGCGTTGGCGCTCGGCCCGTCTCTTACTGGCGCTCTCCTCCTTTCCCTCCCCCCTTCTTGTTCCTGGTTCCCCCTGCTCCTGTCCCCCTGCCCCCTTGCCCTGGCCCCACCGTGGCCAACTTCCGCGCCTCACATCCCCTCCCCCGCGGCCGCCGCCCGCTCCACCCCTTGACTGCATCCATAACTGGCCCGTTCCTCCGCCCTCTTCCGGGTTCCTCCTCCGCCGGCGCGTGCCAGCCTCGTCTCCGCCCCTGGTCCCCTCCCTACCGCTCTGTCTTTTGCTCCCTCCACCTGACCCGACACCCTCTCAACCCTTGCTGTCTCTAACCCCAAAAATGAGGTAATATATGGTTATACTTCGATAGGTTGTACGGATTATTGAAAAAAAGCAAATGTTAGATCTTACTTTGGAGAATCTTGGAGAATCTTAAATACGGGTGTTATCTCGGAGGCTAAGATCCATCGAAGACTCTCATGTTGTCTACGGAGCATAAATAGTACCATTCGCCGCTTTTGGATTTCGTAAACAAATATGGACCGGGTAGATATCAGTTAATTATACGACTTGAGGAACAAAAAAGGTGCGTAATTAAGTTTAATTTCATTACTAGAAAGGATGGTTTTGACATTTTTTTCGGATTCTGACGAAAGTCCTAAACCGATACACTTATTACCGCTCAGCCTTATCTTCAACCTCCTTGATGTCGCTGCGCATTGTGGGCAGTGACGCGTTCCCGATTGTGCAGAGGAGGCGAAAAACTTGTTTCCTTCCGACATCGGTTTTGATGGCAAAACTAACCCAGTGCCAGGAATTCTATTTCCGTCTTTTCCAACGTGGAAAAGTCTGCCGTGCGCTGAGACGATGAACAATTTTTAACGTGATCACCTCAATCTTGACATTGTGGATCTACTTTAAACTGCTACCCAGGCTTCATTTGGATTATCCATCGCCGAATTTTGAAAAAGTCACTGGAAAAGCGGACCAATAATTAAGGCAAGTTTCGCTTGATTAGTACAATTTTCAGAATATTGTCGATCGAAACTGTAATTCATTACCATCATATGCAACGAAGTATGCAAATTGCCGAACAAAACAGCAGATACTATTTTACACTCTCTTTGCCTCTCCTCTTCTTAAAAATTTTATGATAAAAAGTTTATTTATGAAAAACTATCAGACTTATTCACACTCGTTTCTGTGATGTCGCATAGTATTAAAGGGTCGCGTTTCAGAGCCTGTCCCAACAATCGAATTGGTTGCTAATTGTTGAATAATTGGCGTGCACGATGTTTGAGAAGTGAACACAACCAAATCATCAATTAAATTTCACACGAAATTACCATCACCATCCGCTCACCAGGACCACAACCCAATACTAACACTTGCACGCAAAAGACTATAGATGGAGATCGCGGTAAACAATCGATATCTGTTCAATAATTCCCCTACCAATACTGCATAGAGTTTTATTAAATCTATGTGAAAATAAGTATAACAATAAATTTTAAATTACGGAAAATGAATTTTCTTCCCAGATGCTACGCCATCGTCACGGCGTATCAGCAAATCACCATGTTTCAGCCTTGTCTCCTTTTAACAACCATTCTCCCTTATACATTCACACACTTCTTTTAACATATACCAGGCAAGGCCAGCTTATCCGGTTGGGGTGATGCCTCGTTGACACACAATATCTGCGTAGGGGAAATGCCGGAAAGCTGTCGTTGCAGGTCCGGCGCCAAGATTCGTGTTCACCAGCGAATAAACATCGCTCACCTCCCTGGCTATAACATGAACTGTATTCACCGAGACTTAATGACCAAAGTTAAAGTTTGGATTCGCACCCGGAACATAAAATATCACACACTCGCATCGAATTCTTATTCACACACTGCGCTTATGTTGCTGGCATTCACTCTCGTCGGTCGTTCACATCGCTCGTTTGACCACATGTCTGCAGTCATCACTACTACTCGGCCACCGTACCACTCTCTGCTCAACATACACATCATGCTTTGAGCCACCGCGTCTACTCGCATAAGCTCACTTCGTCGTAGCACTACGATAGGCTGCAGTACGCTATTACAGTATCTCACTTCCTCTGTTGTCGCTATCATCTCGTCAATTCACTCTCACTCATTCAATCGCCACCCTGCCCTATGACTATAGTCACCACTCGCAATCCCGTCTAATCACACGTCCGCTTCATCTTGACTTTCACTCACTCGCTCACTTCTATTCCATCGTCGCCCATCTCTCCCTCACTCAATCACTCGCTCACATCATTTACACTCTGCTGGACACTTCGGAGCTAATGCAGCTTGCCTCAACGTGTGGTGGTGACGGCAGCGCGCGCTAGGAGATGGGGGCAGCGACGTGGCGACGCATGAAGGGTTGTGGGACTGGACGCGCTGCACATCGCGGCCATCCACAACACGGGCACTGCGGCGGCGGCTGCTGGAGTGCCGCGCCACGCCAACGCGCCTCTGCGACGGCGGCCCCAGACGCGCGCTGCACAAGGCGTGGGGCTCTGTCGCAACGCCGACTGGCGTCTCCGCGCTCATCAAGCACGGCGCGCGCCTCAACGTGCGCGACGGCAACGCGGCGCACGCGCTGCACATCGCGCCTCGCAAGGTCGGTGCGCGCGCCCGCCCTGCCCCCACGGGTTGCCAGATGCTTCGAGCAAACATACGCCGTCTCGCATGGCTGCGAAATGCGCCCAACAGAGAAATTCAACTTTTTAAAGCGGGACATTTTGAATTTGCATTAAAAATAATATTTCAGTTTTTGAGGGAATGACCCTATGAAACTGCTTGATTGGTCTTTTTTTTTCTTAACATTGCAACTAAATAACGTATGTAAAAACTTACACTTTTTGCAATAATAAGTTATATCTTAATATTTTTGGAAAATTAGTTGTCACTATTCTGATTACTGCATGCAGATGGAGGAATATTTTAAAGATAAACAATTATTTTCAAATGAGATTATTGTATTTATGCACATTGTCATATCAATTGAAATGTCTTTTGGATGATTGTAGCTAAAACTTAATTTTATATTGTGCGTATCTAGAATTAAATGCAAGTACTGCCATGTGATTTAATACGGTACTGATGTTGGTCACGACAAAAGCTATGACTTAACGCACCCTAACTTAAAGTCTAAAAATTACTCTACGTCCTGATAACGACTATTACATTACTCACTTCTTCAAAGTAAATGTTGAACGAATTAACAAATGCTTAATGAAAATGCATGCATAAACGGAAAAAAAAAACTAAAAAATCCAAAAGTCGACGTCAACGTGTTTGTGGTTGCTTTTTTTATTTCGTTCGAATATGAAAACTAGCCTAAAACTTGCACACGTTTATGCAATGTATTTCCGATCATTGGGCGAAATGAATAATTTCCGCGAAAATGAATTTTTGTCCCGCGAGAAGAGAGCCGATTTCCAGTCCCAAAAGCGGAATTCCGCCAATCTGGCGAACCCTGCTACCACAGCTAATACTCTCCTTCTGCATGTGTCCTCCCAAGCTCTCCCGCAATACCCCATTTCCCTCGACCCATTTTAGCAGCTCCGAACTTTATCAGACCCTTCACTTACAAAATCCTCAACTTCTCTCCTAAATCCTATTACTAAGGGCATATATCAATATGCTACAAACGTCAGCTGTCTTCCCCAGTCCGGTCCATCCGTGTTCCCCACTCTTGCCAGGTCCTACCTCTGCATGCAAATACGAATTTTCCGAACCATTTCGCGCAAATTTTTCTCCGCCCTCTGCGTTTTGTTTCGCCCTGTATGCATCTACACATTCCTATTCGGTCCAGCTCTGCTTCTCCACATTCACATTTTTGTCAGTCCTTCTAGCATTGTACTCTTTTCTAGCTCCCCTTGCCTTGCTCTGCCCGCGACCGCTCTTCAGCTATCCATGCTCTTTCCTAGCCACGCTCTCCGCATTCATAAATTTCCCCAGTTCGTAGCATCTCCCATTCTTTCCCCGCTCTGCTCCTCCTTGTTTCTCCCGCCCTGGGATCCTCCGGATTCCTCTTTGCTCAAGTCCACTCTCCTTCGCATTATCGAATTTCCTTCTCAGTCCCTCTCGCAGCCCACAAACTTTCTTCCCATTTTACCCTCACTTTCACAAAGCTATCATTCCACTCATTTTGATATGTACTGACGCTCGGCTTTTTTTCAGCTGGTTCTACCATCTTACTTCCCACATCTTTACCAGTCTCACTTCTCATACAGATATTCCTCAAACGCCATTCTGAAACTCTTTCTCCTCCGCCTTGCTATGCCCGCCCCACCCTCTTTCCCAAGGCCCGTCTCTCTGTAATGACCGAGAATTTCCCCAACCACCTTCCCAGTTGCCACTTTTCTAGCTCACCTAACTTATCTACCACCCTCCATTCACTCTCCAGTGGTACCTCAATGAATATCTATAAACGCCAGCAAGTCTCGTTCCCAGAATTTCGCCTCAGATTCCCCACTTCTGCTCCGCTGGATTTCTATGCTCCGGCCTTCTAATCTTCATTCTCGCCTCGATCAATACTCATATTCACGCCGAAGCAACCTACACTTTAATCCATGACGCTCGTTAATCCTTCATCTATTTGCCACCTTATCGTCTCTCCCATCTCGTTCCCCCCTGCTCCTTGTCGCCCAACATTGCCGTCCATATTTCTTCATAAATAATCATCATCGACATTCAACTAATCAACATTGCTTCCGAATCTCCGGGTTGGTATGGATGGACAGAAAACGGTTAGCGATTAGAATGAGGAGGAACGCCGCGCAGTTCTTTTAAGCAGCGATGTGTGCACCGCCGGCGCAGGTTCTGAAAGCGAGGCCCGCAGCAGCTGGTGGCGGCGGCGCCACGTGAACAGCCGCGACCGCCTGAGGGCGCAGCCGCTGGCGCGCGCCGCCAGCAAAACGTGGCACGCCGGCGCTGGTGGCAGCTGCTGGCTGGCGCACGGCGCCGGACGCCACAAGCGCGACGCCGGCCAAGGGGCACGGCGCTGCATCCAGGGCGCGCTGTTCGCGCACACGCGCTGCGCCCAGCTTTGCTGCTCGACCACGGCGCCGCGCCACGCCGGCGACCTCTACGGACGAGACGGCGCTCCACAAGTGCTTGAGCGCGGTCCCTTGTTTGCTCCATCTGCTTACTCTCTACTTCTCAGTAAATATTAAAGGGTCCTTTAAAAGTATTGAAGGACTTGAATTTATTTATCGGTAGTAACTATAAAAACGCTCCACATTACTGTCAATCGTATATATTTTATTACAATTTGGCAATAAATCTAAGTTATATTTTTAGATGTATTACTACTCCTTCTTTTTCTATTATAATGTAAATAATAATAATAATAATAATAATAATAATAATAATAATTTAAATAATATGGTGAGAGTCAGGCCAACAGGCTCTTTCGCCCGCCTCACGACAAACCTCGAAACAACTAGCATTTATTTTAAAAACAGCTTGAATTGTTGATGATTATTAAATAAAACTTGTGACTGCGACGACATGACGGCTCTCTGAATCTGTTATTCTTCTTGTACATTCATTCTGGTTAGGCATGTAGCGCAGGCTGTGTAAAATATTGCCAAGCCACCACAACTATGTCCTTAAGCCACACCCTCGTGAAAAATCTTAATAATACAAGAGTTTCTTACACATAAGACAGTTTGCTGAAATTTTATTTAAAAAAACGTTTACTAAATCTACCGTGTTTTGCCCCGCAGGCCGGCGCTGCTGGGCAACGAGGAATGGTGCGTCGTGCTGGTGGACGCGGGGCCAACGTGTGTCGGCGCTGGACGACGAGGAGCAGACGCCGCTGCACGACGTGGCCATCAAGGGAGCGTGGCGTGCGGCGGCTGCGTCGTGGCGCCGGCGCCTCGCTCTTCGACGGCGACATGGACGGCCACACGCCCTCCACAAGGGTACTGCGCTCGCGCGCTTTCGCGAAGCCTCCAACGGCTCGAGCGGGGAACGGTTTCGTTCGGCGAACCATCAAAATTCCGCGATTGGTTTCACATATTACAAGGAGGGGGGAAACTCGTGAAGTCACGATGAAAAAAGTAAATCATCTTTTTCCCCGTGCCCTCCGAGAGAAAGTTTCTGTAACTGTTGCAGTTGATTTAGATCAAATATTAGTCATTCGATATCAACAATAAGAATGTAGTGTCCATATCTCGAAAATAAACGATATCATCCATCGGTACTTTTAGTAATAACATGGATCGAAATGTGGAGCAGTACCTTAATAGATGGGTCCATGATCAGCGTACGTCATTACATCCATTTTTGTCTCTTCTCTCTTTATCACACTTACACATGGCCTACGTTACACATTTCGAGAGAGTAGCAAAGAGCGTAGATCTTGTTTCAGCTGGGGCGGCTATGCTGAGGAAATACCTGGAGAAGAGAAACCACTAGTGAATGTGTTATATCGGTACTGCCCCCTCCCGGTGGATGATTCATTGATTAATGATTCCCGTGTCAACTGCTAAGGTCATAAGTCCAGTAAGTGTAGGCATGATTCTGTCGTTCGATATGGCGGTGATCTTCCACACTTTTCGGGCATTGCGTGACAATGTAGTGCGTGTAACTGTAAGTGTTTGTAAGTAAGGAGTGAGTGTAGGACAAAGAAGAGGAAGGAAACATCACACGCGGATGTAACCTATTTGTTAGGGTACTGTTCCGGCATTCTCTGACGTTGATCGGAAGAAACCACGAGAAAATATCGATGAAGAGCAGCCGACCGCTGCAATTCTGCTCCCGACAGCGACTCGCCCAACTATCTAGCTAGTGTTGAAAATATTGCCCACTTTCGAGCTCGAACCTTAAGAACCTCCCGCCAACCTCCCCGTCGGAGACATCAACAATGTCCGGAGCGCGCTTAAGCCAGTTTTCATTATATAAAACGTGCACAAATGACGTCAAAGAGATCATCGATGACCTCGGTGTTGCAGCGGGCGCTGTACTCCAACTGGCGGTGATGGAGTGGCTGAATCGGGACAGGCGCGTGCCGGTGACATCCGCGACACGATGGAGCGCACGCCGCTGCACTTCGGGCGGCGCGCAGGGCCAGATGGCGGCCATGATGCGCCTCATCCGGCCACGGCGCCGCCGTCGACGCCGTCGCTCAACGGCTGGTACCCCATCCACTCGCCCGCCGTGCCAGGGCTACGCCGACTGCGTCTACACGCTCATCCAGCACGCAGCGACATCGAGTGGTGGGACGTCATTGGTGAGCCCGCGCCCGCAAATCGTGTTTGCACTGGCTCCGCCGAAATGATTTAATCTGTTCAATTGAAGGGTTTGGAGCAGCAAAAATGTAGTCACTTAGCCCAGCAAGCCTGCCGCTAAATGGTAATTGTTGATCACTGATTTTGATCGAAGTGTGGTCATCTTAATACTGATATTATAGTATATATATTATATATATATATATATATATATATATATATATGTGTGTGGTGTGTGTGGTGTGTGTGTGTGTGTGTGTGTGTGTGT